TTCAGGAAAATATTCCAAGAGGTTTTGTTTACCAGAATCAATCAGCCTAAATAAAAGAATTACATAGCAATATTTGTGGCACTTATACTTTGTGGACCTATATAAACAAACTCTAGTTCTTTGATCTTTTTTAATGCTTGACTGTATTACAACATGTATGTGCTACAAACAGGTTAATTTTTTTCCCAGGGCTACATAACAAGAACTCATAAAAAGAGTAATGAAACTGAGAGATGGCCCATTTGAAAATATGAAAAAATATTAAGTAAGACTATATAGCCTCTATAAACTAGTACACTAGGTATTTTAATGACAGTCTTATTTCTAGAAATAAAAGAATTCTAAAATATATTTTTAAAAGCTGTTTATATATACCTTATGTATATCAAAGGACTCTGAAATGTTCTATTGCCTTGATTTAAAAAAAAAAAAATCTTTATTGATTTCAGAGAGAGGAAAGGAAAGGGAGAAAGAGAGAAACATCAATGAAGAGAGAGTCATCTATCTGCTGCCTCCCGCAGGCCCCCACTGGGGATCCAGCCTGCAATCAGGGCTGGCATCCCTACCAGGAATTGAACCGAGATCCCCTGGATCATAGGTTGATGCTCCAACTGCTGAGCCACGCCCAGCCGGGCTTACCTTGGTTTTAAACTTAGTTACATAATATTGCTCTCAGTAATTACATGAGTACTTATACTTATGTTTTTCAATGCTCAGTCAGGACTGCAGGTGGAGGAACTAATATTTAACTAAGCATCTACTATGTGTAAAACGTTTCTCTATCTTCAGAAACCTTACTATAAATGTATTATCTCCTTCTTGCCGATGAGAAAAAAAGAGGTTTATAGACATTAAATACCTTGCCTAAGGTCAAATAGCTAAGAAAAATGTCCCAGTTGGAATTCTGAGGTCTGTAAAACAAATCCTTATTCCATTAAACTATGTGTGTGTCGTTTTTCCAGTGGTGGTCACAGAAAACGGCTCTCCACCCCCTACACGCCCAACCCCCATTCTTACCCCCACTTCCCAGTGAAAGGCACGGGAACATTTCTTTGTGAGACCAGGTTCAGAAAAGACCAGTCTCTGGCCATTACACAAAGCACGGCCTGCAAGGGTCGAATCTATATCATGATCTTCTCCTGAGGGTTTTAGCTAGGTGAGCTCACTAGATACAAATGGAAAGAGGGTGGAGTAAAGTAAATCAGCAAATAATTATACAAATGCCACTTATATTTAATTCTGAAATGCCCTGTACACCTACTGGCAGATTTCTCTTCAGAGGTGCATTTTAGACTACTCTCAAAATAGCTTTTCAGGAGTACACTCTGCGTAGACAACACAGGCTGCTCGATCTAGACTTCGGGGACTATGAGGGAAAGTGTGTCTGTGCACAACTATCTTGATTGACAATTAAGACACCTAGAGGTAATTAAGGTAGTATCTCCTAAAAGGTAGAGGGTACTGTGCTTCCAGTGTGTACAGACGGCTCAGCTAAACTGCCAGAACACAAACCCATCTACAGAGCCCAAGCTAAGCGGTCCCGGGAGTCGAGGATGACAGCTCCAGGAACTTCCTCTTCCTCGCGGCGCTCAGCCCGGCGCGCACCCGCCTTTCCCCCAGGAGGCAGGGTAAAACCATTTCAAATGCACGAAACCGACCGATCGCACCCACGCCACAGCGCGGCGAGGCCAGCTTCCATGGCTTCCCCTGCCCCTCCGAGAAAAATTTTATCTTTAAAAAAAAAAAAATGCGTACGTGTTACCAACCACAAAGTATTTGCAACGAAAAATGAAAATATGTACTTAGTCCCTCCACACAGCCTTCAGGGAAGAATGAAAAGAAGGGATCTCGACACCGCGTATTCCCGAGATTTACGGCTTTGATTCACTTTCCCTCAGGTCCCACCGCCGGCGACGGGGAGCTTGCAGTTTCGACGACAAAATATGCCTTCGCCTCCGCTCAGGAGACGCGGAGGCGGCGGAGGCGACATCAATCAGGGCGTTCCGCCTCCGACCCTCACCTGC